AACTGTTTAAAATGATCTAACTGTGCTCCACAGCGGCAAGATGTAGGCTATAAATTACAAAAGAAAAGGAACAGTTGGGGCAAATAGCAGGTAGCTTTGTTCTCTGGAGAGGCCTGGATGAGGTCTTGCCAGCTGCTGTGACTGCGGTCTTGGGTTAGTTCCAACAGAAGTGGTGAGAGAGAGACCATCCACAGCAGGCGGCGGGATTGAGGGTGCAGGCAGCGGGGTGCAGAAAGTATCTAATGCGGGAGGACACCTCTTCCTGTGAGAGCAGTGATGCTTTAGAAGTGGATCCTCCTCAATGTAAACGTGCAGAGTTTGATTTTGCATTAAGAATGGCATTACAAGCACTATAGAATTTAAAGAATCAGTCAATCAAAACAATGAAAAAAAATAGAATCATGTGCTTTCTATGAAATGAAAAATAATTTAAAAATCATCAGTTGATGGTTTTGCAGCTATCGTATCATTTCATGAGATTTTAAGATGTCAAAGGATCATGTGTTCACATTGAAAATTAAATTTTATCAACTCTAAAAAAAAAAAAAAAAAGAATGGCCTTACAATACCTGATAAAATTTCATCCATTCAAAGTAAGGTTTGGGAAAAAAAAAAAGCAGCATTTTCTAGGTAGCCAAAAATTTGATTTGGGAAAATTTTTTTGATGAATAGCATTTCTTTTATGTAGTCTATGTATTTTAAGTGGAGATTTGTGGGAAATCGGCTCAGTGAGGCTAGGCTGATGAAATATTTTAACTTAAAGCAGACCCCGGTTTGTATAATAACATATCAAACATAAATCTGAAGTATCAACACTTTCTTGAACTTTTTATTTAATAAGAGCCACAGGATGTTGTCTGAATTACACACATTCCTTATAATGGCAGCCCGATAACTTGGACTTGATTGTACCCACATGTTAAGATATAGGACTTTACTAAGGATTCTAGGCATCAAGGAATTTAATTAATTTTTAATTAAATTAAAAATTAATTAAAGAAATTAAATTAATTAATTTAATTAATTAAAGAAAAATTAATTTTAATTAAAAAGAAAAATTAATTTTCTTTTTAATTAAATTAATTTTCTTAATTTTTCTTTCTGGTGAGAGAAATCTTCATTTGGATGAATTTGCTAATATGTGTTGGTGGTTACGGGGGAGACTGTATTCCCCAGTCACGCTGTTAGACTCTTTTTCTTTGCCAGCGTCCGGGAGGGGGCAAAGTTTGTAGCTGGCAGAGATGTGTCACAGAACGTGAAGCGTGATTGTATGTGACGACAACTGTGTAAATGATGAAACTTAATCGTAGTTAAAAGAAGTTAAGGTGGGAAGTAAAATCAAAGAGACAGTGATGGCAGGAACCGCAGCAGTGACGTCAGCTGGTGACCCATTCCCCCCTCCGCCCTCCTGTTTCCCTCCCTCCCCGTGTCTCCACTCCCCCACGTACACTTGCCCGTTTCCATCACACCACTGGCTCCGGCCAGAGAGGATGGGGGCATCCTGAGCCACCCTGGGGGCCCACTGTCTCCCAGAATGACTTCTGCCGAGTGTAGAAGGGGGTGACAGATGTTTGTAGATGCAGTACGCTCACAGGGAAATATTTTTGAGACTCATCTCTGAGTAATGTGTGGCCGGATTTCTAACAGTAAAGATTGGTGTGACTGCACACCCATTGAAACTGGTGGGCCCACCAGGGTGGAGGAGTGGCCGAAGAGCTGGAAAAGGAGAACGAGGCCCTCAGCACCGGCTTGACGTGCTTTAGGCAGAGGTGGCTTCATGCCTCAGTCAGCCCTGTTACTCACATCCACCCTCTGACAGATCCTCCCATCCGCAGCCGTAGCCTGGCTCTGACACCTTGGTGTGGGAGAGTAAGGGGGCAGAGGGCTTGTTCCTCAGCCCACCCAGCCTCACCAAAGCTCTGAGTTTGTCGGGGCAGCTCTGTGATTGCTAGTTCTCAGCTCGTGCCTCCCCTCAGCCCAGTTCATTTATTCCAGAAATCTGGGAGGGCCCTAATGAGGGGGTCCACATCCCCACCATTTGCTCCTCTGCCTTTTCACTTTCTACTCTTTTATGTCTCCCTTTTCTTTCCCTCTTTCCTCCTTCTGCCTTTGCCGTAGGCTGTGGCCGTAGCACCCATGGTCATTTTTGTGGCCCACTCATAACCCTCTGAGTAAAGATGTGATCGGGCAGTCCCCCTACATGGCATGCTTTCTCGTGTCTAGACACACCTCATGTTTGTGAATGTAAGTTTACAGTGTAAAGATATTGCACTCCAGCAAAGAGAGGAGTATTTTAGACCAAGATGTCGGGCACTGTAATTGTCAACTCTTGCTACAATGGTGCCGCATAACAAACAGCCCCGGGAGTCACTGGCAAACAGCAGTATTTATTTTCCTCATTGGTTAACCTCAGGGATGCTGCTTCAGACTGTGTGTTGTGGGACTTGGCTCCAGGCTTTGGGTTGAGATCAGGTTGGCTCCACGCGCCTTTCATTTTTGGGCAGCAGCTTCACGGCAGTAACAGGAGCACAAGAGGAAAAGTGCAAACATGGGAAGCCTCTTAGACCTCAGCTGAGAATTGGCACATTGTCATTTCTACTCATCATTCTATTGGCTAAATCAAATCACGTGGCCAAGCCCAAATTTCAGTGGGATGGGAAGAAAGTGCTCCACCCGCTCTGGGGCACTGCTTCATGGTCACTTGAAAGGGAGAAGGGGTGAAGAATGGAGAACATTTATCCAGTCTACCATACAGGTCCTCATCATTTATGCCCAAGGCACATGGCTCTGATACACGGGCTTGGAACGCCAAGGAAAGGGATTCCAGGAAGCACAAGAAGCTCTGAGGAGTCCTGGTTGGTAGAAGCACTAAGTGTAACACAGATGAAGGTGTTTACGTCGTCCTCCTGTCCCATCTGGAACAGGACGGCTCGCGTCAATTAAAGGTGGGGGAGGTGCAGGTGGCCGACCAGTATCCTACCTGGCATCTGAGCCACAGACCCAGAAATCCTTTCTGTCCGGACCTCTAAACCCACTGGCAGCCTTCGGCCCTTTAACATTTTAAAGATCTTTGAAAGCTTACTGTCTGAAGTGTTTGGCCGAGAACACACCGAAGCGTTTGAGACAACTGTTAACAATTCTTAGTGCCAATGATGAGAAGAAAGTTGTGGCTTGTCCTCAAATAATAGGAAGCTCATATGAGGAGCTGGAGCTGGCAGGCTGCTGCGGATGCAGCACCACCGCCGTTGTGCTTACGAGACTCATGAGATGCAAAGGCGGTTTTGATCTAACAGTGAAATGACTTACTGTCTTACAGACTGAGTGGCCATTGTGGTGAAGATTGATTTCTGTAGAGAATATCTCCTTTAAAGAGCCATAAATAAAGTACCCTGTGGGTGTTTGAAGAACATTCCTAATCTGCTTCCCTTTAACTGAGAAACCCACATGGCTCGGGGAAACAATAAAATGTATTCTTTTGGCGAAACATGTGAAAGGAAATAAGGAAATGAATACTTATTGGAGGGCTAGGTATTTTCACATCCATCCCCATGTGGAAAGGAAGAAAAATGATTTGTCAGGCTGAAAGCTGCCCCTTTAAGAGAAATGCAGGAGAGGTGTGGAGTTGACAAAAATATTGGTACAAATAAGATTTCCTAAGGCTGTTGTTCTGGCTTCCGGGTCTCCCAGAGGCGTGCATCCCGTCCCCCTGGCTACCTCCTGGGGCTTCAGAGTTTCCTCCTTGCAGTAATAGGGTATGATCCAAGTTCTCTCTGGCTTTGTCCCCACCTCACAACTGGCCTTTGAAGCTTCCATCTGTGCCAGAAGGCAATTTTCCACCCTCTGGTCATCCCTGGCTCCCTCAGCCCAGCACTAGGATCTTACCCCCATTTTTCCCAGATCAAAACCCAGGGCACTTCACGTGTCCAGTCATGACAGTCGATCTGCGGTGAAGCTTTTGAGGCCAGCCCAACTGCCTCTTCTTTCCTTATGTACGAATGTTGATAAGACAAACGGTTGTTATTACTGTTGTTGTTGTTGTTATTTTTAGAATCAGTACCCATTGCCATGAAAGTCCTCAGATGTCTGAAGTTGGTAACTGCCTGGGAGAGTGGGGAAAAATTTCCTCAAGAAGGTCCCATATAAACTGGGTCATGATGGATGAGTAGGAGTTCACCAGGCTCCAAAGCTAGGGAACAGCATTTTAGGCAGAAGGAACAGCACCTACAAAGTCCACACCAGAGTCAAGGGAAAAAGATAAGATTTTATAGGCTTTCCTCTCACAGTGGAGAAAAAAATGCTTTTCCCATGTCTGTGCTTGTGACAGATGGGGTTTTATCTGCCACATGACAAGTGCCTGGGAAAGAGAACGACTCTTCAAGTGGCAGTGACCCATTCCTCAGGTCTATAAACATGTATCAGGCAGGCGCACGCTGCACTCGGGCATTGGGCTGGGTTCTCAGAGTGCTGGGAATACAAAGAGTAATCCAACAAAGTCCCTTCCTCACGAAGCTCCCCGTGCGGTCACACTGATGGAAGTACCCCAGGCCCCACGTAAATGCACTTATCACGGGGTCCAGCGTTTCACACAAATAATGGCCTAGAGGCTGAGCAGCAAAGGAGTTGATAGGATGGGCGGGAACATGTTAATCATCGTGGGCATTAACAAGGATTCACGTGGGGGATAGTTTGTGTGAGGACTGATTCTAGGAATGGGCAGTTCATTAATCATTTTTTCACGTTATTCTCAACGCGACCCCGATACCTGCCGGGATGTGTGTGGCGAATACGAAGGTCACAGGGCTTCCCTGTGTTTCTGAATTGTGGCTCTTTACAGAAATGCAGCCAGAAGGCACCTGATTCAGAGTGGCCTGTTGGGATGGAAATGAAAGCAGCTTTCGATTAGGTTCACGGGGGGCAGGGGAAGGTGCTGAGGTGCCCACCCTGAGCCCCCGATCCCCCCAGACCTGGCACCTGCACTGACGCGGCCCCTCCCTCCTCAGGTATGGAGAGTGCAATCACGCTGTGGCAGTTCCTGTTGCAGTTGCTGCTGGACCAGAAACATGAGCACCTGATCTGCTGGACCTCCAACGATGGTGAATTCAAGCTCCTCAAAGCAGAAGAAGTGGCCAAGCTGTGGGGACTCCGGAAAAACAAAACAAACATGAACTACGACAAGCTGAGCAGAGCCCTGCGATACTATTATGACAAGGTAAGCCCTTGCCCTTACGGGAGGCTGTCACGGGGCGGGAGCCACCTTCACAACCCATCCATGGAAGTGGGAAGTAGGGTACCGTAACGCTATTGGCAAATAGAGGCAATTTATGTGGGTTGTATTGCTGTTGTTTTATAAGAAGAACTATGCCATAGGGATTTTTTTTTTTTTCTGGAAGCCCTTAAGGGGTTATCGTGGGTCAAATTTTGTTCCCTCTGCACCTTCTTCTGTGTTGCTGCAGGATTTTGCTAATAACAACAGAAATGAGATGCAGGAAGGTTCTGGGGCCTCCCTCGTGGGTAGTTGCTTGAGTGACAGAATGTATGTGACAATCTAGAAGGTCTGTCCGGTTTGTGATTCACTCAAACAGGCTTTGCAGGAGTCGGGGGGATGGCACCTGGGACAGTTTATTGAACATTTGGGCACCCGCTATCCTCACGTATAAAATGGGGCTCGTAATAGCGTGGGTTCAGGATTGCCGAGAAGAACTAAACAAGCCAACACACGTTAAGCGCTTAGAACAATGCCTGGTACCTGGGGATCGCGACTTCGTGGGAAACTTCCCTAATTAAAAGAAAAACCATTCTCATTTTTAAGTCACAGAGATAAGTCAGAGTGCTTTGTTAATGATAACACAGCATCGTTTCCAAAGCCAGGACTGTTGGGGAGAGTAGTAGTGCGTTTCTGGAAAAGCAGTTGATGTGCCTGGGAGGGCAACCTTATTGCTCTTTAGGGGTAATCATTTCAGGCCTGTCATTGTTGACCATTTCTGTGTTGATCTGTTGTTGCTGAATGTTTAGCCTCATAGACGTAAAGATTTGGAGTCCTAATAAGTATAAGCATCTGTTCTGGTTTTACTCTTCTTGTTGCAAGGTGAATTAAAAACGGATTTAAATATTAGTTCCTGATCTGTGTTTGGTGCCTCCCTCCTGCCAACCTCTTTGGAATTCAAGACAGAGGATTGCACATTGCAGGAAGTGGGAGCATCATTAATTATAAAGTGTTCCTTTGTACGATCGTAACTGCGCATGATTGCCATTGAAATGTTAAAGGTGCTTCTCTTTAATGTAGCAATTAATTAATGCTGGCTTAATGCAGCGTCTTACCAAGATGTGAAAGCCCTTCTCACAAATTGCACTGTCTGAAAGCCTCGCAGATGGTTTATTGCTTTGCATTTTTTTCCCCCAGGTTCTAAGTTTACACAATGGGAATTGGGGCCCTCTGAAGGAAAACAGTCATCTTGCTGGCTGGCAAGGTGCCTAAGAGCATGGCTTTGAGACTGACTGAAAAAAAAAAAAGGAATTTTATTGTTTTCAGTCAGGGTGTCACAGAAAAGGAATTTGGTGTCTGTGACTCGGTTTCACCTTTTCACGTGGCCCAGGCATTGGGGCTGAGGATTGTGTATCTTCAGCACAAAGAGGGATCATGGGCTGAAGATGACTCCCCAAAAGACAGGCAAAGCTGTGCTGTTCAGACTACATCTGATCTCCCTTGGGCAGGTGTTGAAAATCTCGAGGGAAAGCAGTTTCAGAGCCTTTAATCACCCCCCATGTTTTGGTACTTTCTGTGTCTAAGGGACTGTGTGCCGAGCACTCCCTACCCCTGGCCTCCTTTAAACTATCACAGCCCCCTGAGACAGTCCTGCTGGCATCTCCTCCTTTTACAGATAAGAACGTAGGGGCGTTTGATGGAAACCTTGCCCAAGCTCCTGCAGCCAGGAAGTGGTAGAGCCAGGATGCCCACATTCCTGGCCAGAGGCCTGCGCACTGCCTTCTGTGCTGTTCATTTCCTTTGCCTCTGAATACCTGAGTTCCAGGTAGGCAGTCAGGCAGCACAAAGGGTATCGCAACCTTAGAAACTTGTATTTACTGTGAAGCCCCAGGTCCAAGTGGCCAGTGTGGCCTGCTCGCCCCAGGTGTCCCTTTCCTCTTCTGCTGGGGCTGAGCTAAGGTCCGGCCACGTGACCTTCGTGCAGCCAGCTGGCCCTGACAGGGCAGGAGTGGCTCTTGTCCAGGGTGTCATGCAGGCTTGGCCACCAGGAGAAGACGCCCTTCGTCCTTCCTTAGAAACATGTACACTGTAGGCATGCACGTACACACGGCCGTTTGAACCTTTCTCATGAAACCTTGTCAAGTGATGAGTAAGAGTGGTCATTAGACACCGAATATAGTTGTACGTGAAAAGAAGAGGAGGGAGGAGGATGAAGGAGAAGAGAGGAGTCGGGCGAGAGCGAGGGGAGAGGACGGGCAGAAAGCGGGGAGAAAGGGAGGAGGAGAAATGGTGAAGGAAGGTTAAAAAATTGTATGTTACATTTTGTGATGGACACTTACTTTTTTCAGTTTTGCCAGCGTTGCTCAGGGACTGTATGTGTAAGTTGAATAGTGTGAAATTGCTAATATCTGATCGTTTTGTTTGTTTTTTTAAAAATTATTTATTTATTTATTTATGGCTGTGTTGGGTCTTCGTTTCCGTGCGAGGGCTTTCTCCAGTTGCGGCAAGCGGGGGCCACTCTTCATCGTGGTGCGTGGGCCTCTCTTGTTGCGGAGCACAGGCTCCAGACGCGCAGGCTCAGTAGTTGTGGCTCACGGGCCTAGTTGCTCCATGGCATGTGGGATCTTCCCAGACCAGGGCTCGAGCCTGTGTCCCCTGCATTGGCAGGCAGATTCTCAACCACTGCGCCACCAGGGAAGCCCTATCTGATCGTTTTTGACTCACAAAAACGCCAGTCTTAAATGGTTTGGTCTCTCACTGGAGAGACAGATTCGAGGAAGGTCTTTGTGATTGTGGAGCCCCTGGCCACATGGGCACCCCTTGCTGTGCCCCATCCTGCACTGCACGTGCTTCTCACGGTCACCCAGCCCTCCTGTGACCCTGTCTGCCTTTCGGTGCCATCTTCAGTCCCCTTCTCTCCCGTCCCCCACCCCTCTTTCCCCGTTCCACCCCTCCCCCTCCCTTTGACACTTAGCCAGAGCCTGCTCTGCGCGTGCGTGGCATAAATTCAGCGACTCCCTACCTTGACAGCTGCGTCTTTGTCCCTGTTGTGTTTCCTCTTTTCGGCTTGCTATCATCTCTTCACTGTTGGCTGAAATTGCACATCCCTTCGTCTGTCCTAATAGGGACATTTCCTGCCAGAGTAGGTAGGCACGAGGATATCATTATTTTTGTATGTTATATGTCATATTTTTAGCTCATTCCAGAATATTTAGAAATGGGCAGAGAAAAAAAAAAGTGGAAAATGTGTGCAAAACTTTGCAGAAGGCGTCAGAGAACAATGTATGGGCTAATGGTATCAGGTTGGGGCTGAGGTGCTTTAATCATTGTTCCTTAAAACATCCCTCCCTCTCCTCCGAGGGGCAGGTTATCACAGTGATAACTATGATAATAGCAGGAACTCTGGGTTGCATAGTCGGGATTTGAATCCAGCTCCGTGACTGTGAGTGCTTTGCCTCATCTCTCCTGGTCTCAGCTTCCTTTTCTATAAAACGGGTATAAGAGTAGAGTCTAGTCAGAGGGTTACGGTGTGGATTAGCTGAGTTTAACACGTGGTCAGGGCTGAGAACAGTGCCCAAACACGTTAAGTGCTGCAAGTGTTAGCCAGAGTAATAACAGAGGATAGTTTCCTTATCGCTAATTTGAAAAATTCAGGCAGGTACCAAGAAGAAAGTTAGGACCTTTGTGCCAGCATCCTACACACAGGGAGGGGGCGTCAGATCCCGGGTGTCATGGCTCTTCTCACTTGTGGGCACTCAGGAGTGCTTTGTGGTGCTTTTTAATGATATCTATTTTGGCTCTTTTGACAATTCAACTTTCAAAGATGCTTTCATGTTTAAATGACACTTCCTGTCCCTCTGAATCAAACACCTCCCTTTGCGGTCAGTGCTGTCCAGGGTAAAGTCCTGCTGTGCCTCCTTCCCTGAGTCTCAGATCCCCGATGGGGGCGTGGGCACCGAATAGCACCTTCCTCCGTGGGATTGTGTGAGGAGTACGTGTGACCATGTGCGTGAGGCGCTCAGCACCTGGTAAGGACACGTAGCAAATGCCGGTCAATTCTGATATCCGCGTTTGCAAGACTTAACTGCCTGGCGGTACCGTCGTGTCTATGGCCGTCATCCTTACAAAGCCGTCTTCACCATGGGCTCCTGGCTTAGGCACTTTTGTCACTCTGGTACTGTGCACAGGGTCTGGCACGTATTAGGTGCTCAGTAAATACTGGAAGCAAATGAATGAGCAAACGGATAACATAATGAAGTGGCCGCCACCCAAATTCAAATCACTTCTGTCATGAAAGTCGACGCTAAATAGGTGTTAAACAACAAAAACTTACTGCCTCTGGGTTATTGTACTGTATTAATTATCTAGGGCTGCTGGAACAGATTACCACCAAGTGGGAGGCTTAAAACAACAGAAGTTTATTCTCTCACAGTTCTGGAGGCTAGAAGTTGAAATCAAGGTGTCCGCAGGGCCACATTCCTTCTGAGACTCTGGGTAGAATCCTTCCTTGCCTCTTCCCAGCTTTGGTGGCCATCGTCAATCCTTGGTGTTCGTTGGCTTGTAGCTCCGATCTCTGCCTCTGCCATCCCATGGTGGTCCCTGTGTGTCTTTGTGTCCAAATTTCCCTCTTAAAAGGACGCTAGGTCTATTGAATTGCAGTTCACGCTCATGACCTCATCTTAACTCACATCTGCGAGGTCACATTCACAGGTACTGGGACTAGGGTTTCACCCTACCTTTTTGGGGGAACACACTTCAACCCATAAAAATGTATATATATTTCTGACACTCCTGGACTTACATTTAGATTTTCAAAATTACACACCAAGGGAGAGCTTTGGATTCAACGAATCCTAAAGGAACACTGCTCCCCGTGACATGGACAGCAGCTAGATTCAACCGCAGGTGTGAAATTAGACTCTATGACAGACACGTCACAGTGTACCCACTGTGGGCCACAGGCGCTGTGCTGGGTCCCCTGGGGTGGAAGCAAAAGTCAAGCAGAT